GAAACATTTTGGAAAATTGTTCTGACATTCTCGGCGGTACTAGAAAAATCAAGAATGATTATCATTTCTATAATCGAGAATGTTGTACCAATTAGACTTGGTCCTTGTAATTTTTTGGAAAATTTTTGGCTATATAAAGTGAATATCTCCAAGTTGTTGGAGTTAACACTTTAATATTTTAATTTGGTTGTAATGATTTTCATCTTTTACTTTATGAGTGATCCTAATGGATTTTCTTGCTACTAGACTTAACTTATAATATTCTCTATCTTTCTTCATATTGGTTGGAATTAAATTCCAAATTTTTTCCTTTTGATGCGAAGGAAATTTTGCCTATATAGTTTTTGCAATAGTATTTCTTTGGAATTTGGGTTCCATCGGGCATACTGTCAAAATATATTCTTTGGGGATATATGGGCTAGGTTCTAGCTGTTTAGATGATATATTGATTTTGGGAACTTGTAGCTTTTTCATATATCTGTGGTTGATTATCATTGGAAGTATAGTATGATTTTTTCATGGGTCTGTTTGGATTTTGAGGTGTGGATGGTTGTGTGACTATATCTTTTTCCTTGTCTTCTTTTACTCATGTTGAAATTTTTTTCTTTTTCCTTTTCCTTGTAAAAATTCTCGTTAGAAAATCTGGAAGAATTATTTTCTCTTTTTATAAATTGTATTTTGAAAGCAAAGCAATATAAAATTACTTGCCATCTGGCAAAATTTGTTTTGAAATCAAGTTCTTTACTTCTTTTTTAAAACATCTTTTACTGCCTTACAAACCACTCTTATAATAAATTTTTGATTTATCAATCGTCTTGAAATTTTGAAAGACAAAACGATAGATGAAATCTCATTTTTGATGGTGTAATATTGCTGTTGAGCTTTTGTCCATGTTTTGAAATGGAATATAACTATTCTTTCTTTATCTCCTTCTAACTGATTTAGGATTCCTCCATATTTGTCTCCACCATTTTAAAGGTTGTGGGTTTGCTATCCCTAGGTAGGATAAACTTTTGACTTGTTTTACCTCTTATACTATTTTTGTCATTTTATTTGTCCATTCTGGTGGGTTTTTCTGTATGTTTTTAAAAAGTAAAGCTATCTTTATCCTAATCTTTGGCAAGAATAGGCAACATTATTAAGACATCCTAAAAATCTCTGTAATTGATTTTTATTTGTAATCTTATGTGGAATTTTTTTTTGCAAAGTCTACAACCTTGATCGGAGTTATTTTTCCTATTTTTGCACTATTTTGAACATAAAAAGCTGAACAACATGGAGATTTGCTTGGCCTTATTAATTTCTTTTTAAGTAATTGTTGAATTTCTGTTTTGCAATATTCTAACAATTCTTGATTCATCTGTACAGGTCTAGTTTTTGTTGGAATTTTTTTTTATTAAAGTCTTTCATATATAACTTTGAGTCCGATTAAGAGAGGTAGAGGAAGGCCTAAGAGAACACTCTTGGAAGTTGTTGAACGCGATCTCTTAATTAATAATATTCCTAAAAGCTTGATAAATGATAGAGCACAATGGCATTTTGCAATCCATGTAGCTGACCCCACCTAGTGGGATAAAGGCTTGTTGTTGTTGTTGTTGTTGTAGTCTTTCATATGATAATTTTGCTATATGTCTTTTTCTATCCCAAAAAGTATTTGGATGTTTTGTACAAATGCTCTTTTTTTTTTGTATTCTTTCTTTTATTTGTAGATCGTCTATCTGTTCCTTAATTCTTTTATGATGTGGTTCTTTATTGAGAAAATTTATTTGTTTTTGCTTTCTATGTATGAAGTTTATTTAAATATAGAATCTTGTTTTAATATTCTTATTTCTTTCATTATTTGTGGTTTTACCCATTTAAATATTATTTTCTTTTTTGCTACTTTTGTTATTATTCCTTGATGATCTACCTTAAAAGGCAATATTTGTTCTAAAAAGGGCACCCCTAGTATTATAGCTTCACCCAACGTTTTGGCTAATATAACTATATTTTTGAAACATATTTCTTGGTTGCTCTAGGACCCAAAAAATTTAAAAATTTAATGTGGGTCCTACTAACGGTAAAATTTGATGGAATATACAATGATGGAATCGAAAATTTTAGTGGTTGAGAGATATAAATGACCTTTCTTGACTTTAGAGGCGATCCTAACCCTTTTCGCTTAGTTGTGGGGCATTTTAAACTCTTGACCATCTATACATATAAAAACATCTATATATCTATATATGTATATGTATACATCTATACATATAAAAACATCTATATATCTATATATGTATATGTATACACACACATAGATACATATATATTATAAAAGTTATAGGCATAGGATGCTTACAAAGAAGGAGAGAAAGAGAAGTGCTAAAGGTAAATATATTATGAGTGGAAGGAAGATAGAATGATAAGTTTACAAAGAAAGAGAGATGGTTGAAAAAATCAATGACTGTAAATCCTAAAGTCTTCTGACTTTATAGAAGTTTAGAAAGAATACGTTGGGTTGTATTCTCTCATCACTTTTCTTAACTATGATAGAGTTGCTATCACTATTTTTCTTTTTACTTTTGTCTCTTTTAGTGTTTGTTTTTTTTCATTTACTATTTTGCTTTTGCTTTTAAGACATCCTTGTCTGCTACTTTTTTTTATCTTTTTCATCATCTTTTTTTTTTTGCTTTGTCATCTGTGACTTCTTTTCTTTCTTTTGCCTTTTGCTTTTTTTCTTTTTTTCTTTTGTTTCTTTAGCTGGTAACTTGCTTGCTTTTCTCTGTCGACCAACAATTGATTTTCTTCAAAGTCGGCTCTAAATATATCTTCATTTTCTATTTCTTAGGTAGAGGATGCTACATTTGAAGCTACCTGTGATGCCTAGGAGGTTACCTCTTGGATAAGAGAGGCTCATTCTTCTTTATTTTTCAGTAACGGTGGGATATGAATGTTTTAAAGAAAATGAAAAAATCATTATATTTCTTTTATTACATGAGAGTAGCATGGATAATGAGTTAATGCTTTGCTATGGCAAGTAGAAACCATCAAGTCCTACAATCAATTATTTGGCTGGAATATTTAGAATCAAATGTTGGGACAAATATAATCAAGAATATGCAAATAATAAAGATAGTTGAACACTATCGTCAGAAATATTTCAAGACAAATAAAAATGGGAAGCATCATTAGTAGCTTCCTTCTTGGCAGAAAGGAATAAATTAATGACATAACTGGCAATAGCAAAAAAAATAAGAAGGGGCCTATCTTACTTAAGAGGTACTCTCTTAAGCATCACGGATAGCTTTAGATGTAGGGTCCTTTATTCAAGAAATAGAGAATGAAAATATATTTGGAGCTAACTTTAAAGAATATTAGTTGGTGGCCGATTGAGAAAAATAACCAAGTCACAAGTTAAAATAAACAAAAGAGGAAAAGAAGAAAACTAAAAGGAAGAGAAGAAGTCTGATAAAGAAAGAAAATATGAAGAAAAGATAAAAGAAAAGTAGCAGAATATCTCAAAGTCAAAAGTAAAATAATAAATGACAAAAAAAAAAGCATCAAAAGCTATAAAAGTAAAAAGAAAAATAGTGACAACCCCACCAATTAAGAAAAGTTATAAAGGTTAAATAAGATAACTCAGGTCTCTGTGATATAAAATTAGAAAATTGAGATTTATAGTCATCAGTTTTTCCAACCCCCCTCTCTTTGTAAACTTGTCATTTTCTCTTCCCACCGTTTGTAATATATTTTCTTTCAACACTTTCTATCTCCTCTCTTCTTTTATAAGCATCCTGTAACTATAACTCTTTTATAAACAAAGTTTTATGTTCACATGTATTCTCTATTTGAATCTTTATATGTTTTAATTCGATCTGCTTCTCGATTTAGTATACATGTATAGATGTATAAATCTATATATCTATACACATATATATACATACATATCTATATATCATGTCTACACAAACATGTATCTATGTTCACATATATACGTATCTATATATGTATGCATCTATATATATATGTATGTATGTATCTGTACGCATACATACATATCTATATATGTATACATATATATACATATTTATATATACATATCTACACAGACATGTACATATCTATATATGTGTTACATATGTATAAATCTATATATATGAAGCCATATTTGTAGAACAAGAAAAAACAATTAACTTGAGTTATTGTAGTTTATTGGAAAAACAATTCTCTTTTAAATTTGTCTTTCGTTTATGGTTGAAATGTCTTTTGTGCAATCACAATTGCTTTTCTTAATTGTGGTTGAATTGTTTTTGGCACCTCTTCTTTTCTCATCTAACTTTGACTTTTCTTCATCTTCTTTTTATGACTTCTTTGTCTACTATGCTTTTCTCCCGTGACCCCTTTTTCTTTTCTTCTTATCTTCATCTACTTTGTAACTTTCTTATCTCTTGTGACCACCTTTCTTTTTCTTTTCTTCTTTTCTTCACATACTTAGACTTTTGTGGCTCTTTTACTATATTCATTTATTGAAGGGTGATTATGCATAGAAAATATTTCTTGAAGAGACATAGAAAAACTGTTAGAAAAGATAATACTTTCAAAAGGAATAATTTTAAAATGATAAAAGAGAAATAGTTTGTTATAAATGTGAAAGATTTGGTCATTATGCCAATAAAGGTAGAATAGAAAAGAAAATTAAAGAATTACAGATAAGTGAAGAAAATAAGAAAAATTTATTAAGAATTATGATAGACAGTGATTCAGATTTTGAAGAAGTAGATAAAATCTTAAATATGCAAGAAGAAGAAATTAATAGTAAAACCTCAAATATAGAAGTAGAAGATGAATGTTTAGGGAAAGGAATATGTAATTGTACATATAATGTAATAAAAAATCTAAATGTTATAGATAAAGAAAACTTGAAATTTTTAATAAAAATCATAGATAAAATAAAAGATGAAGACATTAAAAAACAATATTTATTTAAAATAAAAGGCATTAGATAAAGAGAAAAAAAAAATAATACTAATCTTATAAGTATGAAAGACATATTAAAAAGATTTGAAAAAGAGAATATTATCCCAATTGGAATAAAAGAATTACAGCAAGAAATAAAACAAACTTAGTGGTGCCCCAATTTTGTTACCTGTACCAAGAGATATAGTTGCGAATTATATGCCTAGAGCAAAAAGACATTCCCAAACTTCAAAAAGGAAATTGAACGCACTCTGAAAAGCATAGAGGTTTTAAAAGAAGATACTCTCACTTCTTCTAAGAGGAAGGGGATATAGTCACTAACTATATAGTTAGAAGAACTTTGGAAACTAGAAGAAAAACTTATTGGTGGCAGAGATCTCGGGTCAATTGGGTTTCAGTTGGTGACCTTAACACTCGATTTTTCCAACTCATCCACCAAGATTCGTAGGGAAAAAAAATCAAATAATGAAGCTTCATTCTGCTTCTGGCCAATGGTTTGACTCTGAGCAGGAAATTGGGTCCTTAATTTTAGATTTTTATAAAGATTTATTCTTTGCTAATCATAATAGCGACTTACATCTCGTCTTGAACTATGTTTAGCCTTGCATATCTGAAGATCAAAAACAATTGACTGGCTTCACCTATCTGTGAAGAAGAGCTATAGCAGGCAGTCTTTCAACTTGGCACTTCAAGGGCTCCAGTCCTTATGGTTTTAATGGCCACTTTTACCAAGTCTTGGGATGAGGTCAGTGATTCTCTTTATTTGCTAGTGAATATATTCTTGCTAAGAATGAAGATCTTAGTACTTCGAATGATACAAATTTAGTCTTAATTCAAAAAATTGAGAGGCCTGAATTGGTGAGTCAATTTAGACCCATTAGCCTTTGTAATTTTGCCTTTAAAACTCTTTTGAAAATCTTGGTCAACTGTCTGAAGGGTGTTCTTAATGAATGCGTTTCCTCCCATCAACGAGCTTTTGTTCCTAATCATCTCATTCACGATAGCATTATCCTTATTGTGAAGTCTTTCACTTTTTAAAATTGAAAAATACCGGTAAAAGATAATTATTTTACGTTCAAAATGGACACGAACAAGGCCTTTAATAGGCTAGAGTGGTCTTTCATTCAACTGTTTTAAGGATGATGGGCTTTTGTGACACTTGGATTCGTTGGGTTATGAAATGTGTTTAATGCTCTATCTTTAATATTCAGATCTCTGGTAAATCAATTGCCGAGGTTATACTCGAGAAAGGGGTCAAGCAGGGAGACCCTCTCTCCTCATATCTCTTCATTATAGCTAGCGAGGTCTTTCCCTTGATGTTAAGCGCCCATGCACATATTGATGATCTTATTGATATTCAAATTACTGAGAATTGCCCCATGTTGACGCATTGCCTCTTTGTTGACCACACGACACTGTTTTTGCATGTTGATAGAGCAAACTGTAGTATTGTTAAAGAGCTCCTTCTATCTTATTGTAATGCATCAAGTATTTACTTGGATTTTGCCTGTTCTTTAGGGTCGTTTGAAAGTAGCTGCCCTTGCTTAAGCCAGAGAAAAAGTAGGGAAGAAAGTTCATGATTGGAGAAGCATAAAAGAATGGGAAGTATACCTCTAAGCTTGGCTATAGACTCGAATATGCTAGGACTCATCCAGCGATCTTATCGGTGCCTAGTGTTTCTAATAGCATTATGGAAGCATGTATAGCAACTAAAAATCCATCCAAAAGTTAAGCATTTCATTTGGAGGGCTCTTAATCGGTCCTTTGCAACTAAAGATGCTCTTTTCTCCCTTAAATGCGCATCAAATCCTCTTTGCCCTCTTTGCAATTATCAGCTTGAAAACAATTGAGCACAGGTTGCTTCTTTGTGATTGGGTAAGGCGCATTTGGTTTGGCTCCCCTCTGTGTCTTACTCTTGACCCTTGCATATTTCATCTTTTGACAATTGGGCAGTCACTTTCTATCCGATAAAAGTCCATTTGATGCATATGAGAAAGCTTATATTACATGTTTATGTTGGATATTTGGAAAATCATATCAGCATCAGTATTGAATGCTACTGCTCTTAACCCAATTTGTGTTCTCTGTACTACCAAGGTTGCAGTTGAGGAATATTGGACCACCAATAATTTAATAGGTGAGACAAAACCTGCTGATCATTCGCGAATTCACTCGACTCCATTTGAATGTGATTCTGTAAAAATCAATTGCGATGGGGCTTTTGTCCCATATTCTAGTAAAGCCTTTATAGGAGTAATTTGTAGAGATCATGATAGTACTTTTCTTCAAGGTTGGAGGGAGCCTGTGACAGCAGATTCAAGTTTTATGACTGAACTCCTTGCTTGCCAAAAAGCTGTTCAGCTTGCCTTGGATTATAGCAACCAAAAGGTTATAGTGGAAACTGATTGTCTCGATTTATTCAAAGCTTTATCAAAGAAAGACTTCTCTTGCTGCGCTTGGTCTACTCACAATGCTCTTAGTGACCTATATGAATAGCTTGAGTCTCACAGCTTCATCTCCTTCTCGTTTGTCAAGCGGGAAGGCAATTTTGCTGCTGACTGATTGGTAGGCTCTTCCTTAAAGGGCGTGGATTCTACTCGATTACTTCTCAGCATGCCACTGCCTCTTTCAGCCATTGTTCAATTTGACTCATTTTTCTCGGTCTTCCTTTCAGCACCCTGTGATCCCACAAGGTAAAGAAGGAATTGGTTGAGTTGTCCTACTTTTAGGTGTCCTTGTTTTTTTTTTTTGTTTTGTTTTGGGTCTAGACCTTTGCCTTTGGGCTTATGGTTTTTTTCTCTTTCTTTGTTTCTTTGTACTGCAGTTTGCTGCGTTATTACTCTAATGGTTTATGAATGGAATGTTTTCTTGTTGCTTAAAAAAAAAAGGAGAAATAAAAGAATTAAAACAATTGAAACAAGAAATGGAAGAATTAAAAGAAAATGAAATCCAAAGAGAATTAGAAATATGACAAATAAAAGCCTTGTTAGAAACTAGTAAAATAAAAATAGAAGAAAATGTAGAAAAAGAAAACAGAAGATGAAATAAATTAAATTACTTTTGAAATAGATGGACCAAGATATATGAACACAATATCTCAAATAAACATGGAAAATGGAATTGCCAAGTGAGTTTAGTGATAAATAAAGAATTTTCAAGAAATATAGTAGCCTTAATCGATTCAGGGACAAACAGGAATTGTATATAGTAAGCATTAATTTCAACAAAATATTATGAAAAAAACTTGTGCAAGAATAAGAACAATCAATAGTTCTGAAGTAGAGATACAATATAAATTAACAAATACTCATTATGTATCAAGGAATATGTTTCAAAAATATTTTTATTAACTAAAACACTAGGCGAACATGCCATATTAGGTTCACCTTTCAAAGTAGATTATAAAGGAATAACAACAAAGATAACAAGAAAAAGATAATTTTTGAATGGATAAAATCTTAGATAGTTAGAGAAATAAACATGTTAAAACAAGATTCTATATTTAAAATAAATACTATAAATAGAAAAAAAATAAATAAACTTTCTTAATAAAGAAATACATTATAAAAGAATTAAAGAACATATGAAAATCTCAAAAATAAAACATAGGATAAACGAAATAAAAGAAAAATTTGAAAAGATATTTGTACAGAATATCCAAATGCTTTATTGAATAGAAAAAAAAAAACATATGGTAGAGTTACCTTATGAAGAAAATTTTAGTGAAAAACAAATACCAACAAAAGCTAGACTTATATAGATGAACCAAGAATTGTTAAAATACTGTAAAATAGAAATTTAACAATGACTTGAAAATAAATTAATAAGGTCAGCAAATCTTCGTAGAGTTGTTCATCTTTTTATGTCAAAAATAGTGCAAAAATAGAAAGAGGTGTTCCAAGATTAATTATAAATTATAAGCCATTAAATAAAGTTTTAAAATAGATTAGATATCCTATTCTGAATAAAAGGGATTTAATTTGAAGATTATTTAATGTCTTAATATTTGATATGGAATTTGGATACTACTAGATATAGATAGCCAAAAGAGATAGAGATAAAACAGCTTTTACAGTTCTTTTTGGACATTGCAAATGGAATGTAGTGCCTTTTAAATTAAAAAATATCCCCTTAGAATTTCAACAGATAATGAATGACATATTTTATCCTTACAATAAATTCACTATAGTTTATATTGATGATGTTTTTGTATTTTTCAATTCAATTAAAGAACATTTTAAACATCGTAATCAATTTTATGGAATAATAAAGCCAATGAACTAGTAGTCTCAGATAGAAAATTTAAAGTGTTTCATACCAAAGTAAAATTTTTAGGAATGGAAATATGTTAGGGAAAGATAAAGCCAACTAGTAAAGTAATAGAATTTGTAGAAAAGTTTGTAGATAAGATTATAGAGAAAACTTAGTTACAAAGATTTTAGAATGTCTAAATTATGTAGCTATTAGAAGTGGGCCAACCTAACCTAGGCCTATTACCAATTTATCTAGCCCTAGTTTATTTTTCTATTATCATATTTATTTTATTAGAGATATTTGTTACTGATTTATAGAGATATTAGAATCAGAATATTTATTATGATCTTTCTTAGTTATAAGGGCAAATTTGGTACGATTCTGTCAAATCTTCTCCCTTCTATATGTGTGCTTTGGTCTTTCGAATAAAGTGAGCTTCTTTGCATTGCAAACTCAAATGGTATCAGAGTTGCGACTCCTATGATGTATAACGCAGTGCTAACCAGTCCTAAAGCTTTCACCTCCTCCAAACTTTTTGGAGCAAGGTGGAAGCTCAAGCGGGACTGCAAACACTAGAGGAATTGGTACGGGTTCCTTTGGGAATTCACATATAGATTCCTCTTCTCAACTAATCATCATCCATCGACTCAACGACAACAATTATCTATAATGGTGCGAGGATGCAACAAGGAGCGTTACTTGATTGGGCATTCGAATGTGTTAGAAATTGGTGATCCCAAATATGAAGTGTATTGTGCAAAAAACAAAATGGTTATGACTTGGTTAGTTCACTCTATGAACACTAAAATTAGTGAGAACTACCTACTTGCCAACACTGCTCAAGAAATTTGGGAATTAGCACAGCGCACCTACTCTGTTCAAGAGAATAGTGTAGCTATTTTCCAAGCAAAATGGGACTCTCACGCAAGGGGAGAAATCAGTCACGTTGTATACACTTCCTTGATGCGGTTATGGTAGTATATAGATTTATATGAAGCTTATCAATGGTCGTATCACACTAATGAGGTGTATTACAAAAGGGTCATTGAATGTGAAAGATGTTATGAATTCCTTCTTGGCCTTATGACTTGTTTGAAGATTTTAGAGGTCGTATAATGGGTATGAAACCTCTGCCTTCACTTGATGAAACTTTTAACATGATAAAGTATGAGGAAAGCCACAATTGTTCAACTTCCTTCTTCAATTCCTTCTCTACCAACTGTTGAATCCTCAGTTATGGTGACTCGGGGTAATCAAGGGGGGATTCAAAATGGAAAAAGTCTCTTCATTGTGATTATTACAACAAGAATGGTCACACTCGAGAGACTTGTTGGCCAATTCATGGTAAACCTAATCACTTAAAGCAAAGGAATAAAGGTGACAACATAGGTTTTATAGTCAGTCAACTTGAAGGAAATTCATTGAATAGTTAAGAACTTGTGCTCAAATGAATACTAGAGAGGTATGCTCAAGAAAAACTAAGTGAGAAAACTTACTCTTTCAGTTACATTGGTTCATACAGGTACAACTCTACTTACTGTCCTAAGTTCTATTACTGGGTATAAAAATATTTGGGTTGTTGACTATAGTGCTATGGATCACATTACTAGATTTCGGGAGCTATTTTCTGAGTTTAGCCCTTATTTTGAACATACTCGTGTGCAAGTAGCTAATAATACTTATGCACAAGTTATGGTATCTAGAACAGGTGTTATTTAGAATTTATTGTGCTAAGGAATGTGCTATATGTACCTAATATTCAGTGCAATTTGTTGTGTGTTAAATGTATAGCCTGTCAGTTAAATTGCCTTGCAATCCTTAACAAGTTTCACTGTGTTTTTTTAGGATTTAGCCTTGGGAAAGATGATTGACAATGCTAAGGAACATAATGGACTCTACTACTTTGAAGGGAAACCTAAAAATAAAGACCTTTTGACTAATTCTAGTTTTGTTTCCAAACTTGTTTTTGCTTCTGCTGTCATGTCTCAAGAAGTGACTGTTATGGCATTTTCAATTAGGCCACCCTAGTTTTGATTATATGAAACTTTTGTTTCTAAGCTCAATGAATAAAATCAATTTTCACTGTGATATTTGTCAGCTTGCCAAACAAACTCGCAATCCTTATCTTGTTTCTACTTACACATCTACTATCCTTTCACTCTTGTGCACAGTGATGCGTAGGATCCCTCTAAAATCAAACACACTCTAAAGTCAAGTGATTTGTTACTTTTATTGATGATCATACTCATCTTATGTGGTTGTTTTTAATGGAAGACAAGTTTGAAGTTGTTACTATCTTTAATTCTTTTTTTTTTATAATTTTGTTAAAAATTAATTTCAGACTTCTATTAAAATACTTCATAGTGACAACGGAATTGAGTATCTTAACACTAACCTTTAAACCTTTCTAAAAAAGGAATACACCACCAAATATCTTGTATGCATACGCTCCAACAAAATGGAGTGACTGAGAGGAAAAATAGATATCTCTTAGAGGTGGCTATATCTCTTTTATTAGGTGGCAAGGTATGCAATAAGTTTTGGACAGATGTTCTTACTATTGCTTATCTCATCAATTGTATGCCCTAAAAAATTCTCAAGTTTTGAACTGCTCTCCAAAGTTTTTTAGAATCTTATTCTCACTCACATCTCATTAATTCTCTTTCAAAAAGGGTTTTTATGTGCATGGCTTTTGTGTTTGATGATGAGGGTGGGAAACTAGATTCTAGGTCTATTAAATGTCTCTTCCTAAGTTACTCCTTGACAAAAAAAGGGTACAAGTGTTACTCTCCTAAAAAACAAAAGTTCATGTCACTATGAATGTTAAATTTATTGAAACACTACCATTCTATCCCAAATTACCCATTCAGGGGGAGAATGATAGTGAATGGTTAATTTGTGCCACTTTAGGGAATGATCACCTAAGTAGTCAATCCATTGGCATTACTAATCTTGAACTAAAAATACTTATTTCTACTAGTCTTGACCTTACAACACCAAACCCTATTACACCTACTTTTGAACATGAAAACCCATTTGATCTTCATGCCTGTCAAGAACAGCCTTCTATTATGGATGAGATTAGGCAAAATCAACCTGACCCTATTATGGATGAGATGAGGGAAAATCAACTTGGACAGACTACACAAAGCGAAGGTTCCATTGATGTTTTGAAGAAAAGTCATGATTCACAACCTGAGGTTAATCTTGAAGATCTTCAATGGCCTATTGCTCTTAGAAAAGGCAAGAGAAGTTGCACTCGACTCTCGACACCCCATTGTCAAGTATGTCTCTTATGATAAGCTTAACACCAAGCTTAAGACCTTTGTTACTACTCTTGATAGTGAAGAAACACCTAGAACTTTTGAAGAAGCCATATCTGATTTGAAATGGAAATTGGCCATTGATGAAGAATTGAAGGCCTTGGACAAAAACCATACTTGGGAAATTGTTGATATGCTTAATGGACAATCAATCATAGGAAGTAAATGGGTCTTTATTAAGAAATACAGCTCAGACAGGACTTTAAATAAATATAAGGCACAGTTAGTTGCTAAATGTTTTACCCAAACCTATGGAATTGACTATCAAGAGACATTTTCACTTGTGGCTAAATTTAGTACTATTAATGTTTTGTTGTCTCTAGTTGCAAATTTAGATTGGCCACTACATTAACTAGATGTGAAGAATGCCTTTCTAAATGGAGACTTAGAAGAGGAAGTATACATGGAGATACCTTTTGGTTTGAGAGGACTTGAGAATGCAAACAAAATTTGCAAGCTTCGTAATTCCCTATATGAACTAAAACAAGGAGACTTGTATGATGGGTTCTAAACCTACAGATATTTCAATGGAACTTAATTGCAACTTGGAAGTGAAACTTGATGGGAAATCAACCAATAAGGAGAGGTACTAGAAGTTGGTAGGAAAGCTAATTTATTTATCTCATACCTAGCTAGATATATCTTTTGCTTTTGGGGTTATAAGCCAATTTGCTAGTAATCTATAGAAAGAGCATATGGAAGCCATCTACTGAATTCTCAGATATCTCAAGACTACTCCAAGGAAAGGGTTATTCTTTTCTAAAGGAGATAGAGTGTACAAATCTAAACAAATGGAAACAAGAGAACACTTGATATTAAAAGTGAAATGAATATAGAAGTCTATATTGATGCTAATTGGGCAAGATCTATTCTCAATAGACTTAGAGAAGTAAGAAACAACCAATTGTGTCTAGAGGCTCAGTGGAATCTGAATATAAGGCCTTAACTCTTGGAATTTGTGAAGACATTTGGGTTGTACAATTACTTAAAGAACTTGGTGTAGAACCACATACTCCAATTAAAATATGGTGTGACCAACATGACTGCCCTAAAGATTGCCAACAACCTAGTTTAATATGATTGTACAAAACATGTAAAAATTGATAGACATTTCATTAAAGAAAAAATAGAAGCTAAAGTTATAGATCTCCTACAGATCAGGAAAGTAAGTTGCAGATGTGATGATCAAGCCTCTTCATGCGAAACAAGTTTGATGAGTTAATAGGCAAGTTGGTAATGATTAATATCTATTCGCCAGCTTGAGGGAGAGTGTTGGAAGTGGGCTAACTTAACCTAGGCCCATTACGAATTTATCTAGCCCTAGTTTATTTTACTATTATCATATTTATTTTTTTAGAGATTATTGGTGTCGAACAAAGCTCAGTAGGCCACGTGCCCTAATTTCTATTTAATATTTATCATTTACTATGTTTTAATATTATATTTTTATGTATTGCATATGTCTCTAATTTTTATGAGTTTATTTTGCTAATTCTTTCTGTTTCTAGTATCTCGACTAGATCTTATTTGTTCTAGGATTTACGTCTCCTCTGTATATGTATTTCCTTCTATCAGAATAAACCTAAGCTTTTATCTAGCATTTATATTTCCTTATGGTATTAGAGCAACTATGATCCAATTCGGATTTAGGCTGCACAACGAAGGTCATGGTGATAGTGATGAATCAACTGGGAACAAAAATTCCCCATCTACCTTCGTAAGCCACTAAGCGCTAAATGATGTTACTGCAATCAGCATTCATGGATTGAATGGTCAGAACTATATTCAATGGGTTGCAAGCATGCGCCTATATATCACGGGCAAAGGAAAGTTCGAGCACCTTACTAGAGCAACTCCAAGACCTGCTTTGACTGATGGTAAGTTTTTCACTTGGAAGGCTGATGACTCATTTATTCAAGCATGGCTAGTGAATTCAATGACCCAAGAAATCAGTGCCAGTTTTGCTTTGTTTGGCTCAGCTCGTGAAGTATGGGAGGTCATGCCAAGGATATGTTTGCCTTTGTTAAAAACAAAGCTGTAATTCTAGAAATTGAAGGAGCTCTTCATGATCTAAGGAAAGGTGCTTCATCTGTTACACAATATTATACTAATCTTATTATGTAATGGCAGCAATTAGACACCTACAATACACATGAGTGGTCGTGTCCTTAAGATACTTCCTGATATGTCAAGATTAAGGAGGAGCAGAGAATAAATAAATTTTTATTGGGGCTGGATACTGCCTTTAATGATGTTCGTGGGCGAATCATGAGCCTTGAACCTCTACCATCACTAAGAGAGGTTTTCTTTACTGCAAAACATTAAGAAAGCAGAAAGAAACTGATCACAAATAAGCAACCTAATGTTGAAGATCTTACTTCAAGTGCCCTTGTATCCAAGGGAACTCAAAATGGTGATGGCAAGGGAAAGTGAAGCAACAAATGGTGTGATCATTGTCAAAAAGCTGGCCATGCCAAGGATGTATGTGGGAAAATTCATGGTAAGCCACCTAATCAAAAAGGGAGAGGAAAGTCAGAAAATAGAGCCTTTGCCACCACTATAGAGGACAAATCTGATTATGACACGCTAAGTAAGGAGGAAGTTGACCTTTTACGAAAGATGTTAGACAAACATGATTTGCATGAAAAGCATATAGCTTCTAGCAATATGGCCTACACTGGTAATGCAATTCTTGCCTTAAATTCTGAGGTTCATCACAAAGAAATGTGGATTGTTGATTCAAGGTCAGGGGCCATTGATCATATGATAGGTACCCTGGTTTGCTTTAGAATTTACAACCATGTAAAGTTATTATGTTTATTAAAGTTGCAAATGGAAAATCCCTTAGAGTTTAGGGAATTGGTACAGCCTATCTATTCAATCGATTAAAACTTGAAAATGTTTTATATGCTCTAGAGTTGAAGTGCAGCCTTCTTTCTATAAGCAAAGTGACTTTGCATCAATCTAGTGGTGTTAACTTTCTCCTTCAATTGTGTACTTTTTAGGACTTGGAGTTGGGGAAGATGATTGGCACTGTTGAGATGATAGAGGGGCTCTATTGTTTGGCTATATAGCAAGTTGAACGTGGCTTCTCAACTAGTCTTGATGCTAAATCAAAGTCACTTGATCAATTTACAAATAATGAAGTGTTGTCGTGGCACTATAGGTTAGGCTGCTTAAGTTTTCATTACATGTCCAAATTTTTTCCCAATTCTATGAACAAAAATATATTTTCTTTGTAATGTGATATTTGCCAACTTTCGAAGCACACAAAAAGCACCTACAAATCCTATCCACATGTACCATCTGAACCTTTTTCTCTTGTGCACAGTGACATTTGGGGACCTTCTCACATTCCCTCCTTAACTAATGCCAAGTGGTTTGTCATTTTTATAGACGATCACACTCGACTCACATGGGTTTTCATTTTAAGAGAAAAGTTTGACCTTTTCCACATTTTTATCAACTTTCATGCCATGATCAAAACTCAATTTCAAACTACCATTAAAGTTCTCCGTAGTGATAATAGAAGAGAGTATACATGCTCAGCCATGCAAACATACCTGAACCAGAATGGCATCATTCATCAAAATAGTTGTGTCCATACACCACAACAAAATGGCACTATTGAAAGAAAGAACGGACACTTCTTAAAAGTTGCTAGGGCTCTTATGTTTACCCATAGTGTTCCAAAACATTATTGGGGAGAAGCTATTCTTACTACTGCTCATCTAATCAATAGATTACCTTCAAGGACCCTTGACTTCCATACACCTCTTCAGGTTCTTACAAAAACCTTTCCAACCATACACCTAAATCACTAGTTCCAAAAATGTGTTTTTGGCCATCTTGCTTATGTACATAATGATAATGGTGGAATGTTTAATCCCAAAGCCTTGAAATGTATCTTCTTAGGATACTCATTTATTCAAAAGGGTTATAAATGTTATTTTCCACCTCTTAAAAAATTTTATCACTATGAATATCACTTTTGTTGAAACTCAGCCATATTACCCTTGTCCTCCCATTTAAGGGAAGGGTGACTATGAGTGGGAGCCTGCACAACCAAGTTTCTCTAATGAACCTTTGACTTTGTCACTAACTCTTCTTGCTAATGATCCTATCCTTGACCCACAACCTTCTCAAACTACCCAAGACTCATCTAAAACCATCCAAGAACAAATTGTAGACCTTGATATTTGATCCCAAGCCAAACAACACTGAATCTAATGTATTTGATCATGTTGTGATTGACAATACAGGATTTGAAGAGGCCAAGGCTGCTATTCTATTGATGAGCCTAATCACCCTTCTAGCTCTCATTAGATCCAAGATTCAACTCCAACTTCAGCTTCTGATGATCATGGGTGGCCTATTACTTTAAGGAAAGGGCTAAGAAAATGTACTATGCACCCTATTAGTAATTTTGTCTCTTATGACAAACTCTCACCTTGCATGTAAAGTTTTATGGTAAAGTTATCAGAAGAAAGATTACCCTTTAATTATCAAGAAGCAATTTCTGATTAGAATTGGAAGGAAGCCACTCATGATGAATTAACCGCATTGAAAAACCATACTTCGAAAATTACTAAGCTGCCTCCAAGAAAGAAAAGTATGGGGTGTAGATGGGTTTTTACAAAGAAGTATAATCCAAATGGAACTCTTAATAAATACAAAGCCCGGCTTATTGCAAGAGGGTACTCGCAGACTTATGATGGTATTGATTACCAAGAAACGTTTGCTCCTATTGCAAAGTTGAATACCATTCGGGTGCTATTATCCTTGGCCGCCAATTGTGATTGGCCTTTACATCAATTAGATGTTAAAAATGCTTTTTTTCAATGGAGACTTGAAGGAGGACGTGTACATGGAGATTCTTGAGGGATTATCAAAATAAAGAAAGCCAGGTATGGTGTGCAAACTATATAAATCTTTATATAGACTCAAGCAATCAACTGAGCTTGGTTTGAAAGATTCTCTAAAGTTATTAAGAACTTTGGATACGCTTAGTGTCAAATTGATCATACAATCTTTGTGAGACACTTGGAAGGAAAAATGGCAATGCTTATCATTTATGTTGATGATATAGTACTAAGCAGTGATGATTCAGTTGAAATACAGAGATTGAATAAGTCATTGCAAAAAGAATTTGACGTAAAAGACTTGGGAGGTCTACCATACTTTCTTGGAATAGAGGTAGCTAGATCTAACCAAGGGATTGTGGTGTCATAAAGGAAGTATACTCTTGATTTGTTAAAAGAAACAGGGATGCTAGGTGCAAGACTAGCAAAACCACCTATGGAATCTTCATGTAGATTAGATATTAAAGAAGAGGAGGATTAAGAAGAATCAACCTTAGATAATAAGGAAGATTTACTTTCTGTTGATGCTAATAGATATAAAAGACTTGTAGGTAAACTTATCTACCTATCCCACACTTGACTCGATATTAGCTTTGCTATTGGGATGGTAAGTAGGTTTACTAATGATCTAAGAGAGAAGAATATGCAGGCGATTTATAGAATGTACCTTATGATGACTCTCGATAAAGAAATTTTCTTTGCTAAACGTGATTATAGAGGAATCAAAATTTATACAGATGCTGACCATGGAGGCTCTAGCCTTGATAAGAGGTCCACTTTTGGGTATTGCACTTTTATGTAGGGAAATCTAGTGACATAGAGGAGCAAAAAGCAATCTGTTGTTTATAGTAGTGCAGAATCATAACTAAGGGCCTTAGCTTATGAAGTGTGTGAAGGAATATGGCTACAAAGAATGCTAAAAGAACTAAAATTTACAATAGATTCACCTATTAAGATTAGGTGTGATAGCAAGTTTGTGATAGCTATGGTTGAAAACCCTATACATCATGAAAGAATGAAGCATGTTGAAATAGACAAGAACTTCATTAAGCAGAAGATAGATAAGAGAATTATTGATTTAGCTCATATACCATCACAGCTACAAGTTACTGAAGTATTCACCAAGCCATTGGCTAGGTTATTATTAGAAGAATTTAGAAGCAAGTTGGGAATGACTTAATCTATTCACTAGCTTGAAGGGGAATGTTGGTGCCGAACAAAGCCCAGTGGGCCCTGTGCCCTAATTTATATTTAATATTTATCATTTACTGTGTTTTAATATTATGTTTTTATGTATTGCATCTGTCCTTGAATTTTAAGAGTTTTTTTTCCTAATTCTTTTTGTTTTTAGTATCTCGACTAGATCCTATCTGTTTTAATGTTTGCGTCTCCTCTATATATGTATTTCCTTCCATCAGAATAAACCTAAGCTTTTATCTAGCATCTATATTTCCTTAGAGATATTTGTTACAGATTTATAGGGGATATTAGAATCAGAATATTTATTATGATCTTTCTTTGTTACAAGGGCAGATTTGGTGTGATTCTGTTAGATCTTCTCCCTTCTGTATGTACGCTTCGATCTTTTGAATAAAGTAAGCTTCTTGGCACTGCAAACTCATAGTAGCATACTTCCTTCTAAAGATAATGTGATAAAGATAGCCTTACTTTTTAAAAGATTTCAAAAAAAAAAAAAACCTTCCAGGATGGAAAAACAAAATTATAGAAATAGTAAAAAAAAAGTTAAAACAACAGGTCAAAAGCCTACCTATTTAGGGATAGCAACTCCAATAGTCTTTAAGATAATGGAGATAGATGTATTAAAAATTGGATATGAAGGAATCTTAAATACATTAGATGAAGATAAATAAAAAATAATTAGATTTTACTTAGGAGTATGGACAAAGGCTCAACAGCATTATTCCACTATTAAAAAAGAAATTTTATCTATTATTTTGTGTGTTTTAAAATTCCAAGCGATTTGATAAATCAAATTTTTTTCATAAAAATAGATTCTAAAGCAGTAGCAAAAGATATTTTACAAAAGGATGTTAAAAATTTGGCTTCAAAACATATTTATGCTAGATGGCAAGCAATTTTATCTTATTTTCATTTCAAAATACATTTTAAATAATTCTCTTCTAGATTTTCTAACAAAAGAATTTTTATAGAGAAAATCTTTTCAAGATGAGTAAATTAACAAAAAGATAAAGGTATGGCTATATAGTTAGCCACTCCACAAAAATCAAAAGCCAATAGACCTTTAAAAATTGAAGACTATATTCTCCAAGATAGAACCTTAAAACCCCAAACATACTAGCAAGCAACATATTAGCATGCTACTGTTCAGTCAGAAAAACCAAACCCTAGCCAATATTCCTAAAGAATATATATGAAAGTTTGTTGGATAGAGCCATAATTCTAAAGAGAATGTATTTCTCATACAATACAGGCCATATTTCCGCCTCACAAGGAAGAAGAAATTCAAAATTATATTCCAACAAATATGAAAAAAAGATAGAAAATATTATGGGCTAATTTTGGTGGCATCAAGATCCATCACTATCACTCATTAAGAGAAAGATGAAAGCCTTTATAGTCAAATAAAGATTCATAAGATATTAACTTCAACTACATGGGGTTACTCACCTTTCACAACAAAAAAAAAATTCCAATAAACTATCATGAACAGACTTATAATTGTTATAATTATGATTATAAAGAGGTATGGTACAACGTTTTATAATACAAAAATCATGATCATTCCTAGTTTACCTTGTTAACTAGGGGTTGTTCAAATAGTTTTTCAAAATGGTTCAGTTTCATATTTTTGAACTAGTAAAGAAAAAACTCTCTCCACTTATGGTAGAGGGATATGAACATTTTAAAGAAAAATTTATTTTAAAGAAAATGAAAAGCCATTTTATTTCTTTTATCATATTAGAGCACAATGGCTAATAAGTTGGTGTTTTGCTGTGGTAAATGAAAGGCCACCATGTCCTACAGTCAATTACTTGGCTAAAAGATTGAGAGTCAGATGGTGGATAAAAAACAATCAAGAATATGCTAACACTAAAGCAGTTCTTTGATAGTTGAATATCAATATTAGAAATATTCCAAGATAGATATGAAGAGAAACCTCACAAGTAGCTTCCTTCATGGTTGAGAAAAATAAATTAATGACACAATTGGTAGCGGTAAAAATATAAAAAAAAATGGGTCTCTTATTCTAGAGGTAGCCTCACAAGCATCAACGACAACTTCAAATGTAGGTTCCTCTACACAAAAAATAGAGATTGATGACATATTTAGAGCCAACTTTGAACAATATCAGTTGGTGGTCGATAGAGAAAATAAAAGAAAAAGTCTTGCAAGAAACAAAGAGCCACAAAACTCAAAAGTAGGTGAATAAAAGAAGAAAAGAAAAAGAAAAAGGTGTCTTGGGAAACAGAGAGCCACAAAAGTCAAAAGTTGGTGAAGAAAAGAAGAAAAGAAAAGGAAAAGGTGTCATAGGAGAAAAGAATAACAAACAAAGAAGTTATAAAAGTCAAAAGAAGATGAAGAAAAAATGAGGCACCAAAAAAAAAATTTAACCACGGTTAAGAAAAGCAATCGTGGTTGCACAAAAGACATTCAAAGTTATTCTTCTAAACTCTATAAAATCAAAAGATCTTGAGTTTTATAAACATTGGTTTTTCCTACTCTTTGTCTCTCTCTCGTTATAAACTTATCCTTTTCCTTTCCTACCACTTGTAATATTTTCCTTCTTTCCTTCACCTTTCTCAGCCTTCTGTGTATGCACTCTATCCTTTTCTCTTATATATATATATATATATATATGTTCATAATTATACTCTAGTTTAATCTTTATATGTTTTAAATTGATCCTCTTTTGTATATGGTGTATATATATCTGTGTGTGTGTATCTATATATGTATACTGATAGGTTTGGGCTCACAGGCTTACCAACATTTCCACTTGGAAAAATTTAAACAGTATCAAATAAAAATAGTGTAAATAGATTAATCAGTAAGTGCAAAATCAACCAAGCTCTAATACCATACATGAAAGCGGATCGGTTTAAATAATATAAAGATTGAAACAAAATATAAATATAAACATATAACTTTTATTAATATAAAAGAGAAAAAGGCATAGAGCACTTGTAAAGAAGGTTGGAAGAGAGTAAAGGAAAGTAAGCCTAAAAGAAAGGAAAATATAACAAGTGGTGAGAGTTTTATTGGGAGAGTGAAGGGGTTAGACAATTCAATATCTATAAAACTCAAGATCTTTTGATTTTTTAGAGTTGAGAATAACTCGAGTTGATATGTCTTCTGTGGAGCTTAGATTGCTTTTCTTAATCATAGTTGAATTGCTTTTAGTGATTTTTCTTTTCTTTATCCTCTTTTGATTTTTGTGAGTTCCTTGTCTACTATCCTTTTCTCCTATGAAACCTTTTTCTATTCTTCTTTTCTTCATCAAATTTTTGGAAAAAAAAATAACAACAATTAATTTACAAGACATATTAACAAATTAGTCGATGCCAACCTTTAAGAAAAAGTTAATAAGAAAACATCTTTTGATTTTTCGTATATAACACAAACTATAGAAAAAGAAATAGGAATAAAGAAAGAAAAGACAATAGATTTATATGTTTTTAGAAGAAATAGTGATTGTTAAATCTAATTTTAGGTTAGGTTTAGATGAACTTGTATTCATCTGCCTAAGAGACAAATGACAAGATAAAGATTTTTTAAAATCTTTAGTTGGAATAATATAGTCAAATTTATTCAAAGGATCACTCTATTTTGATTGTTTACTGAATTATAATACAAGATTAAAAGATTAAGATTGTAGAGAAGCTTTAGTAATGGAAATAGGTAGTAAACACTTTTGAAAAAAAGGAGTCAAGTATATGGTTGTGCAATAGAGGATTATGTTTAAAATACACAAAACACTATAATTTTAAAGCCATAGAAGACTCCTAATGGAGAATAAAGCACAGTAAACCCTACTAGTTGGACCCTTTTAAAACATTAGTAATAATTCCAAAAAGAATAAAACATAGTAAAATACAATTACCTACTAGTTGAACCTTCCCAAAATTAGTTATAACAATGCAGTTAGAACATGGAAAACTACAAGAAATAGTAAGAACTTTTAAAGGAGATATAATTTATGAAATATTAAATAGGTCAATCTCTTACAAATTTAGAGAACAAACACCTATAATAATCTCAAAATCATCTATAGATAATTTCAGCATAGGATATAAATTAATGGGAGTAGATTTCAATCCAAAAATCTCTCAACCAATATATCAGGTGGAAACATCTAGAGTAAAGAAGAAAAAACTTTAGTGAAAACAGAGTTAGAAATATAGACAGTAATAAATAGAGAATTTCAACCATCTATCGACTAACAATCCATAAGAAATTCATTAATGGTAATAAGAAGAGAAGATTTTGAATTAAATAAAGAAATATTAAGAGAAGAATTTATGTTATCCAAAAATAGAGATAAAAGAAATTGGTTTTTTAAATATTTTTTAGAAGAAGAAAGAGAAAAAAATTAGAGAAACCTATTATAAAGAATTAAGATAATTAAGAGAACATATTTATATCATTAAGTGGTTAGAATTATATACTTATGATAATGGAATATTTAATCCCTTAAAAAAAATCACCCTTTGGTAAATGTCAACACAGCTAGAACTAAAAATTAAAAGTGTAGAAATAATACATCAATTAAAGCAACACATCCTCCCTAAGAAGAAATAACCATTAATATAGGAGAAATTGAAATAATAATCTCACCACTAAAGAGAATAAATTCTCAAGAAAATAAAGAAACACAAAAAACTGTACAGCCAAAAAACTATACAAATATAACTTTACATACAACAGGTTAACAATTAGAAAAAATAGAAAATAAATTAGAAAACAAAGCAATAAATAAAGCCTCTTTAATTAAAAACAAATAGATCCCATGAAATCAATATTTAAATATGAAGCTATATCTGTGGAACAAGCAAAAACACTTAATTTAAGAAAATGGAATATAATAGATAAAAATAAAACAAAAAACTGGTTATCAAAAATAAATAAAAAATTTGAAATGTTAAATTTAAAAGAAAAAAAAGTAAAGATAGAATAAATGTTATATGTGTACATCTATACATGTATATATACGCACATATCTATATATGGACACACACACACACGAACATCTATGTGTGTACATATCTATGCACATACACACATCTATATATGATTCATGGTGTCAGAACTTATTCATTTTGCACTTACTGATTGATCTATTTAAATTATTTTTATTTTATACTATTTAAATTTTTCTTAGTGAAAATGGTGGTAAGCCTATGAACCTGGGCTCGCCAATGTCTATAAGTCCGTTGGATTAAGTAGAGATGTTCCGTTCAAGCATAGGAAGAAAAATAAAGGTAGAAAATAAAACCTATTAAAAATTCAAAAATGAGTTAGTTCAGTAAGATATTATGATCTGAGTCCAAAATGGAAGAAAGGATAAGTCTTAAGAGTATCATTTTAAAGTCAAATATTAACAGTAAAGTTGAAGGAGAGATAGAAGAGGTAGAAAATGGTCAAATTTTTTGAAGAAACAGAAATAATAACAGTAAATTTACAAGACATATTAACAAATTGGTCAATGCCAAACTTTAAAGAAAAAGAAGTTTATAAAAAGACATCTTTTATTTTTTCTTATATAATGCAAACTATAAAAAATGAAATAGGAATAAACAAATAAAGACAATATTTTTATATGATTTCAAAAGAAATGGTTATTAAACATAAAGAAAAATATAATTAGATACATATAGGAATGATACAAGTTACAATTTAACTTAATATTATGTTAGGTTGAGATGAAACTATATTCATTTGTTTAAGAGATAAAAGAGAAGAAAAACATTTTTAGAAATCTTTAATAGGAATAAGACAGTCAAATTTGTTTGAAGGACTAGTCCGTTTTGATTGTTTTTTGAATTGTTATAGGATTAAAAGACAAAGATTGTAGAGAAGCCTTAGTTATGAAAATAAGTAGTCAAGGCTCTTAGAACAAAGAAGTCACATATATGGTCATACAATATAGGATTATGTTTAAAATACAGAAAACACATCGAAACTTTAAAGCCATAAAAAGAAACCCCTAAAGGAGAATCAATGTTAATACAGATAAGAGAACCCCTCTAAAACCTCAATAATAACCCCAAAAACAATGAAGCACAGAGAAATAAAGTTACCCACTAGCTGGATCTTCCCAAAGCTAGTTAAACTAGCCAGTTAGAATAAGGAAAACTGAAGAAAAAAAAATAATAAGAACTTCTAATGATAAATGTTAACATAGCTAGAATAAGAAATTGAAAGTGTAGAAATAATACATCAATTACAGCAACACATCCTCCCTTAGAAGAAATTAGTAAAGTACTTGAGCGATGTATGGGTTTTATATTATAGCTTTTTATAAAAAGGTTTGAAAGAATAACTTGTAGTAGACACTTTATCTATATATATATTATCCTGTACGTAATGGAGTTGTGTAATTATAATTATTTAGTAGTAAATATACATATCAGACTAAAGCAAATGGTAAAAACAAAATGTATACTATGTAAATGGATGTGATATGAGAAGTAGATTAACAAAAATTTATAATTATTTAGATCAAATTATCAAAGACATTTTTATAAATGATATTAAAAGTTATATCTTTAAAGCAATCATTCTGATCAAGAACTAATATATTTAGACTCTATGCTTCAAACATAAAAAATAATAACATATAATTGGTCATTGGTGAAAACAGGACAAGATATGTACGAATCAACATGACAAGGGATCTAGTCCTAGCTCTTATTAATGGGCATTGCCAAGGCCAACATAATGGGAAACTGCTTTCTTTTCATTAGGGGTGTTTATGGGACGGTATGGGAATGGGACACCCTTGTCCCATATGTTGTCCTGAAAAAAAGACTTGGATTAAATTTTTATTCCATATCCCTTCTCATCCTGAAAATCGTCCTGTTCCATTAGGAATTAGGATGGGACCGTCTTAGCTCTTATTAATGTTTACTTGTTGTTTGTGAAATTGTTTACTATTATTTTTATATAACTATGTGTATTGTGTTGTGAACTAATAAAATAGTAGCATTGTGAAAGAATATACATACAGGGGTGTGAGTATTGATTAAAATGAATTTGAGGTGACATGTGCATTGACATGCATTGCATTCGTGAGTATACCATGGATTATAGTAGGATTATGCAACCTTACTCTAAGGAGGTCTAGGAAGTCCTAATGATCTAAAGCATAAGGCTTGATTCTGCAACGATGGACTAAGGAGAATCTTGGTGATCCAAAGCATAGAGCTTAACTCCACCATGACGAACCTAGGATATGAATTGATTCAGGAGGTTACCCTATACTAGGGTAGAAGGTTGTGGTCCTACTCTATATAAGGTTAGAAAGTCTTGATGATCTAGAGCGTAGAGTTTAACTCCACCATGATGGACCTTGGAGACCACCCATATGCGAAGAGAATTACTTAATCTGAACACTAGTATGGTGGGTCCTATTCCATGTGACTGGAAGTCCTGGTTCGAGCATAGAGGTTAATCCACTAAGTGAAACTAAGAATGCATTAGCATGAGCATGATGAGATTGATGAGAATGAATTCTTGTATATGTATATGATATTGCTTTTATTGAAATACATGTTACTTTATCTCTTATTTATGATTTTGCTTACTAGCCGGTAATTAAGGTTACCTTCGAGTTACTGGGATATATGTCTCACTCTATTACTTTTGAACATAGGTGAAGAGAGCACGAGAAGACTGAGAAAGGAATCAAGAAAAGAGTAGCCTCACTTGGTAGTGGTATGACTGCCATTTGTGTAAATGAATGTATAGTGAGTTGTGATAGTAGAGTTGCCAACTAAGATGCATAAGTATATGTGAATGGATAATATGAGATATATGAATTGTATTGTGAAAACTTGCTTATATATATATATATATATGATGTTGCATCTCACCAAAAGTGCCCTAGTAGTGGGTATGCAAGTAGGCCTAGATACTATTCAAGTAAATGTATCTCATTATGTAAATTGTTCTACTTTTATGTATTTGTTGAATATGAAATTGATTGTGAATTGTATTATATATGTGAGAACTTAATACAAATGGTAAGGTGGAGCCCCATTTAAAAGAGTCAAGTATACTTATGATTCTTGACCACATAGTGAGGTAGAGCCTTATTTGAAAAATGTAAATAAGTCAAGTATACTTATCATTACATTAATTCTTACAAAAATTTTAGGCGAAAGATGCCAACTTAACTTATATCCTTTCCCTTTGAACCACTAGCACTAAAATATGAAAAAATGTAAATAATCACAGGTGAGACAAAAATCTCAATAACCAATATAGCTCATTAAACGTCTATTACCACAAATAATCATGTTAAAGTAATAAAAATCATATTATAGCATATATATGTAGTATATCACAACTAAATCATCACTTTTGCATATAATTCATATTTCAAACACTTTTACACCTTAGCATGATCAACTATCCATCGATCCTACAAAGTTTTCCGACACAAAACTATAGGCTCTTTTGGATCAATTACTTGTTGACCCAAGCATACTTGCCAAAGGTAATCTAACCCACCTATGGACTATGGCTTCCCTCTTTACACACTTGTGATAGAGGTGTTGTTGACTCCTAACTATACCCTAACGGGCACTAGGGAGTTGATAGACTATCTGGATGTCCCATGATAATAGTCCCATAATATGCTATATCGGATTACCCATGGTACTAGCCCATATAATGCTGCATCGAAAGTCCCATGGTGTTAGCCTAACTATATGGATTTTTTTCACTCTCATGTCTCCACACACACACACATTTCCACATATCTTGGGTGAACTCCCACCCCCTATGATCATGCTCTTTCACAATTTTCACTACTTATACACATTTCCTCAATATATAAGATCATAACATATATATACATCATTTGAAATCAATAACCTTTCGCAAAACTATTTCACAAACCAATGATCATGCTAAAATCATTTTCAATGCACATCATGCATAAAAAAAAACTCTTAAAACAATAAATTCATCATTTTGTTGTTTACTTCTAAATAGTTATAATAGTTGATAAATATAATAAACTATATGTTTATCTCAACTATTCTGTTTGATAGAAAGGGTTACCCATGTAACTTTAACCCTATTCAAACTCCTTTCTTGTAATTCATGCATTACACTAGAATCTACACAGAATTGGCATTTGGAGTTAATTCCTCTATGAACCAAAAGTGCCAATTATCATATTTAAGCACTTAATCGCTATTAAATCCACATTTCACACTCGATTATGCATATTGTCAACGATTGCCTCTCATTTCAAGCTTTAATGTTTTCTAACAATTTTCTCTCACTACTCTCTCTCTCTAAATTGGTGCAAGTCTCTAAATTGGGGCAAATCTTGCTTATAGCTTTAAAGCATTAGCTTAGTTTTGAAGAACATTTCTATTGCTATAAGGTAAGAAATCAACTCCTTAAAACCCTGGATTCAATTTCTTATTAGTTAAAACTAAGAGAAAATAGGGTAGATTCGGAGGTTAAGGCATTACATGACTTACCCAATAAGTAACAGGTTAGAAACACCGTCTTTACTCTTGATTATGCTTGCCCTAGCATATCCCTTACTCTTCTCCACGCCAGACCTCTTGTCTCATGCTCTCCCTTTCTGTTTTCATGAGCTGGCACATCCGTATTAATCGGATTTTTGATTCATGTGCTGCGGCGCATCTATCCCTTACTATAGCACGTGGCATAGTAAGGGAAATCCTCACTTTACTCACATGCTCTGTTCGAGACTCTATTCTTTCGCTCGTATCTATTCATATAACATCCCAAATGAGTCAATATAACACTTTATTACTCAGAACCTTAATCCCACATTAAATCACCAATTCATTCACTAATCAGCCATTAATGTAGGATTAGAAATTCAAGATGTTATAGATATAACCCTCCCCTATATCTGCTAGACACAAAAGAAGATTAACTAAATCATTACATTAATCACACCAATCAGTAATCAAATATTTTATTTGAAAAGCTTGGACCAAGACTCTGTTAACATCTAAAAGTTCATATTATTTCATCACATTTTTCTTAGATTCTAATCCATTTTAGTTCAATTGTATATGTTTTTATTGCCCAAATTAGGAAAATGTGCATTTTGTTTTGGGCATGTATTCTTGGCTTTAATTTGATATTGTTAGCCTAATTTCATGTTATTTTGATTGAAGTTTTGATTAGAAGCATTTCTGGAGCTTTGTGGACGTTTTTGGAAGGCTTTTGGATGAAGAAATCAAGAACAAAATGAATGATTTTCGTTAGCTATAAAAACAGTGCAAAACTACCAAGTCGTCTCAAAGTCGTGACTTTCGTTCGCGACTTTCGTCGCTGTTAGAAAAACGCTGCGTTTCATTTATCAGAAATTAGTTGGCTAAGACACATATAAGCTAAGAGCTCGACCTAGAATGCATTCTTTAGAATTTTAGACACTTTTGGAGGTTGGTTGTGCTAGGGTTTGGGCATTGGAAGAGTTGGGATCAAGAGATTGAAGCTTTAAAGGCATTTGGAACTCATTTTCTTCAGTTTTTCTATTCCTCTTCCCTTTCCTCTCTTATAATTTGAAATGGGTCCACTTATTTTGTATATTTGTAGCTTGTGGATGATTATGAGTAGCTAAACCCTTTGTTCTAGGATTATTTGGAACCCTTGTATGGATTAACACTATATTTCTCCTCTCTTTTTGTGATTAATGATATATATGTGTTTATTTTACTCTTTCCTTAATGCTTCTACATGATTGGCCATCATTTAATATTAGGTTTACTTAATTGATGTTTGAGAGGGCTAGGTTGAGTGTAGAACTTCGGTAAAATTGTGTAAGAACTTGATATTTGTATGTTGAATGGATGATTTTGCTAGTAAGATAGAAATATACTTGCTAACCTTGCATAGCCACATTAGGGTTGGTATTCAAAATTGAGTTTTATTAATTGTAACAAGAGATTGGGCAATTAATTTAATTAAACACTTATTCATGATTTAAGAGAGCTTGTCCAAGTATTTTTAGAACCCTAGGTTAGCACTTATTTTCATTAAAAGCATTTATGAGAGGAGGTAATTTTGATGTTATGAAATGCAAGGGGGATAAATAATCCTAGGTCCTAAATTGTGTTGGAAGCTTGTGAATCACTCACTTTTCTTTATTTTCTAGTGTTAGTTTCATTTGCAAAATCATTTTCACCTAACTTTGTGTAGCTCAACTTGATCAAATTTGCTTAGTCTTTTGCTTGATTATAGTTTTCTAAACAAATCCTCGAGGGAACAATACTCTATTCATTTTATATTACTTGCTACGACCCATGCACTTGCGGTGAGTAACAAGTTTTTGGCGCCATTGCTGGGGATTTGCTTTTGAAAATATTGTGGTCAACCTTAGATTAGTGATAGTAGATTTCACTTGAGCATTGTAAATATTGTTTCTTGTGTGTTTGTGTTTCATCTTATTGCTTGTTTTCTTGTGTTCTTATTTATATTTGTTCTTTTTGTGTGTTTTTGTGTTTTCTAGAGTTTTGTCTTATGCTTTCCTTGCACCAAGAATTAGTTTGTGTTTTTGTTCTCTTGGTGTATGGATTCTCCTTGGTGGACTAATAGGCCAAGCAGAGGATATGAGTATGATACTCATATAAATTCTAGTTATGCCACTAATGCTTGTGAATCCCAATATGATTATACTTGTTGTAATTTTTATGGGATTGATCACTATATAATGAGCAATGCTCCCATGTCTCACCTTTGAATTATGTGGAGGAAGATTACGCTAGGGCCCAAACTAACTTTCATGATAATACTCTTGACCTTAGATGGAATCATGAACAAGCATTGTCTTGGGATTTTACTCATTCTCTTTCCTCATATGCATCACATCCTCATACATCACACAATACTCATGTTGATGAAAGCACCCACATTCATGAGAAGAAGTCAACAATAGAGGATATGCTTCAACGTATCCTAGATAATCAAAACGAAATGAGAGCTTGGCAAGAAAAGAAAATTAATGAACATGCATTGGCTCTTCAAAATTTAACACTCCAAGCTAGTAAAATGGCTTCTACCTTTGAGTCTTTAAATCAAAAAGGTGTTTTTAATGATATTTCAAATGATCCTTATATAAAAGATGAGGACTTAAGTGAACAAATGACTGTAGGGTGTGTGAAAGAATTTCCAATAGCTAGTGATGATTTTGAGTGTGATTTTAAGTTTGAAGCTAATGAGGAAAGGAACAAAAAGTGTTTGGTTGATGCTTCAATTGTGGAGCCTTATCCATTGGATTTTGAAGAAAAGAGAAAAGAGGAAATTCCAAGAGTTTATATACTTGATCATCTTATAGAAGTTTTGACTCTTACTGATGAGAGTCAAGTAGATTTCATTAGGGGTTTAAAATATTAGGGGGCCTTGAATGATATTTGTGAAAAAATTGTATTAGAGCCTATCAATGGTCTTCTTGAATCATGTACCTTGAAATCAAATTTGATTAAGGGAACATGTGTTGCTTGTTTTGATGAATGCCCATTCTTGTTGAAGCCTTGTCATATGAAGAGAAATGAGGACAAGGTGATCTTAGTCTTTGATACCTTTGATTAGATATTTGTGAAGAAGAGTCAAGCTGTAGGACTATAAACCAAGCGCTATTTGGGAGGCAACCCAAGCTTTAAACCTCATCTTTTGATTTTTCCTTTGTAGTTTAGTTTTTTTAATAAATTATGTGTGATCTTGTATCTTTTGTAGGTTAATATAGAGATATGAGGAAGTGTGTGCCTTTGGAGAAGCAAGAAATGTGGCAAAAGACTAAAAGATTTCAAGAGAAGGGAAAATTTCAGGGAAGTCAAGCTATTTAAGTTGTTTTTATGATCATGAACTTGACTTGGCAATTATTTTGAGCTTATTAAAGTGAATGCAAATTTTTATGGTTTGATTCCCATGAAAAATGGTTCTTTTGGGGGTTTGATTGCATTTTAATTGAAAAAAATTGTTTTTGGTTGATGGGTGGTGGTTGGAGATTAATTTTGGAGTGAATTTGGTGATTGGGAGAGGTTTTAAGGGGTAATCAAATCAAATTGTTAAAACAGATTGCTGTAGAATTTTTGCTGTCAAAAGTTCTGATAGGCGTCCAAAGAAGATGAAAGTCGTGATTTCAAATTTAAGCCTAATCTGAAAGTCATGACTTTGGAAAAATTTTCAAAAAAAATTAAAAATTAAAAAAAGAAAGAATTTTTTCCTCTTGTTTTTTTTCTCTTGCCCAAACTTTACCCTCAATGAATGCTAACCTCACTCAATCACTTCAATACAAACCTTTTCCCCCTAAATCTTTCAGGTTCTTTCCCTTGTCACTATCCATAATTCTAGCCACTTGAGCTTTGTCCACTTTCGTTCTTTTTTAGCATGAATCACATTTGTCATTCATCCTCCTCTCTACCTCAAAGTTCCCAAGAGATCACATAGATTAGCTTGTCTTAATTCTAGTTCTATAGTTGTTTTGTTACCTGTGGATATTGTTGAAATACTCTTTTGTTACAGGTTGTGCTTTTTGTGTCTCTCATGCAACCTTTCTATTGTTGTTTGATTGTATAATTGCATGAGAAAGGGCCCTTACTTTCCTCTTTTGACAGTGAGGACACTGTTCAATTTAAGTTTGGGGTGAGGGTATTATTTTGGTTGATTTGACATGAACTTCAATTTTGAAACTTAGCTATTTATGGTTCCTCTCTTTTGAAATTTGAGCTAGATTGAGAAATTATTTATTGAACAGAATGCATGATCCAATGATAGAACGTTGCTTAAACTGTATGTTTTATAGGAAGTTGTGAGCAATATTTTGGCATGCTTGAATTGCAGGGTTAAGGCTTGCTTTCTAGTAATTTGTGAAATTTTCTTTTGCACTTTTGAATCAAACAATGATTTAAATGCCTCTATTAGGAAATTTTGTGGCAAGTTGATGTGCATTTTCTTTCTCAATTGAGAAACTCTAGAACCTATCTTGGAATCTCTTGAGGCATTTTAATCACTTCGCATGATATTAAAATATGATTTGGGCATTCTTTCAATTGCATTTGAGCCTTTCAAGCCCACCTATTGCATCATTTCCACTTGAACCCCTTTTTGAGCCTGGAATTAAAAATCTTATGTATTTTCTTTTTGAAACCTACATTAGACCCTAGCCTCTACAACTTGAAAACCATGAACTACTTTACTCTTGAGATAAGTGATGAAAAAAAATTGTGTGCTAGTGAGGAAGATTGGTTTAGTTATTTAAGGTGTTATTGTTGTAAATTTGAGTGTGAGGAATGGAAATGAAGTTTGAAATTCTACTAATTGTGCTCTTAAAAAAAAGTATAAAAAAATAGAAATATACATGAAAAAAATTGCAAAAAAAAAAAAAGAGTTTCAATATCAATAAATTTAGAGTACAAGAAATGATATTTGAGATAAGTTTGGGGTAAAGTATTTGGCTAGTAAGGATATAATTGTTGGCTTCTCATTGTCATTTATCTCAAGCTCTTTGAATTTCATTTATCCTTTCATTTCAATTAGCCCAAAATCTTCGGCCACGCTACAAGCTTACAAAGTCCCATTGATTTTGAATTATGTTAAGTGATCTTTTAGTGGAGAGAGAAGAAGAGTTTAGGCATATGAAGTCTTGATATTGAGCTTGTTCCATGCATATTGAGTTGTTACATTTTGACTTGATAATTGCAGGAAAATCATTCTCTGGTCACACACACACACATTTCTAAATTGTTGGAAAGCATGATCTTAATTTGTAAATCGGGCATTCCTTTATATTTCACTGCTATCCTCTTTGATATATATTTGGAGCAACTAGTAAGGATATTTTCATGCATGCTTAGTAGATGAATAATTGGTCAATCTAGATGTTTTATTACTTGTTTTACTCGAGGACGAGTAAAAATCTAAATTTGGGAGTGTGTTAACATCTAAAAGTTCACGTTATTTCATCACATTTTTCTTAGATTCTAATCCATTTTGGTTCAATTGTATATGTTTTTATTGCCCAAATTAGAAAAATGTGCATTTTGTTTTGGGCTTGTGTTCTTGGCTTTAATTTAATATTTTTAGCCTAATTTCATGTTATTTTGATTGTAGTTTTAATTAGAAGCATTTCTGGAGCTTTGTGGAGGTTTTCGGAAGGCTTTTGGATGAAAAAATCAAGAACAAAATGAATGATTTTCGTTAGCTATAAAAATAGTGCAAAACTGCCAAAGTCGTCTCAAAGTCGTGACTTTCGTTCGCGACTTTCGTCGCTGTTAGAAAAACACTGCATTTCATTTATCAGAAATTAGTTGGCTAGGACACATATAAGCTGAGAGCTCAATCCAGAATGCATTCTTCAGACTTTTAGACACTTTTGGAGCTTGGTTGTGCTAGGGTTTGGGCATTGGAAGAGTTGAGATCAAGAGATTGAAGCTTTAAAGGAATTTGGAGCTCATTTTCTTTGGTTTTTCTATTCCTCTTCCCTTTCCTCTCTTGTAATCTGAAATGGGTCCACTTATTTTGTATATTTTATAGTTTGTGGATGATTATGAGTAGTTAAACCCTTTTGTTCTAGGATTATTTGGAACCCTTGTATGGATTAACACTATATTTCTCCTTCTTTTTATGATTAATGATATATATGTGTTTATTTTACTCTTTCCTTAATGCTTCTACATGATTGGCCA